ACACACAGACAGACTAGCAGACAGACATGGGGTACACATGATAACTCACATTAACATACACACTCACACACACACACACGCACGCACGCACGCACGCACGCACGCACGCACAAACACACAAATACACACGCAGGCACGCACTCCACATGAAACATCACAAAATGTACGCGACCAAGGTCACGCACACCCAGGCTCCCAACATCAACCACGGATGAAACATCAGCAGCAGTCACAGTAACTGTCCAGCTACCATCGTGAGCTCCACTCAAATTCAAATGCGAAATCTCACACAAACTCAATGTTAGAATAAAATAGGAAATATCACAGCTACACGAATCAACGGTGCGCTAGCAACCTGACAGGCAAATCACCGTCAAACCTGATTGGAAAACAAACTACGGCATCCTCACAACGCTGCCTCGTCGAACACCACTGTGCACACATAGCTCGCCTCTGTTGGAATCTGTTAGCATCTGTTAGCTTGCGTGCACTCATATCATCTAGTCAGCGATACGCGGGTTATCCTCATTTCAACTGTCCACGCGATATCACCTTCGAACTCACATCTACAAACACACTCCACACATCAATCAACTACATCATACTCAGCTAGCACTCGTGTGCATTCCCATACAGGCTGCCGATCACGAAGACGGGCAGTGCTCCATGCTCGTTGCACGTCCACCGGATGGTTCCGTGCTAGGCCAAAACAACAACGTCAACAGCATGAACAAACACAACAACAACCACATCAACAACTACAACAACATTGACCCATGCCTCGACACATGTGGACGCAATGAGTTCAATTTGGTCCAAGCCATCTTCGCTACCAATCAAGCGTGGGTGTGGTTCCAGATTTGTGCCAACCCCACTCGCTTTCTAGTCCTGTTCGTGCAGGTGACAGCCTGCTGTCGGCCTGATTCTATGCGTTCCAGTGTGGATAGCCCTCACGTGTGGTTGTTCAGGCCACAGCACCATGCGCCCAAATCAGGCTGTCAGCCGTGCGCCCCGGTGCGTCCGACTCTAAATGTTCTGCCATGTAACGACCTCTCTGATCCAACCTATTCTAAATTGGGGGCCAGTGCGTCTCAGCTGGTCCGAAGACACGAACTGGACACGTGCGCCGCCACTGTCTACAGACGGCGCATCCGACTGCATGGACAAATCGCGCTCCACCAACCAATCCTTTTTCTTTTCGCAGTTCGGCTGGCTTATGCGCTCGTCCTCCCATTTTTCGTTTGCTCTACCAAATTGGAATACAAATGCTTGCACCTCATTGATTTGCTATTCTACCATAACTCATTTTCTGTGAACCGACCTACTTGCTCGGAGCCCATAAGTTTTCAGTGGAGGGTTTATTGGAAACAAATACTTGCTTGCACCACCACTGTTCCCTAGTTAGACTGGAAAGGTCCAGTTTCTTTGCCAAATGCCAAATAAGACTTTCCGTCTTATTTACTGTCATGGTAGCATGTCAAATCTGCTCCAGCATGTGCTCTAGTCGGTCGATCTGATCCCAAATATCATGTACCTGCACAATTCTCGAATGTAGTTGCACGCGGATTGGATGAGCAATGGCACACATAGAATGTTTTGTCTCACAAATCCCAAACTAGGAATGCTTGTGAGAGCGATAAGCTTCCAAGAAATATTTATCTGACTTTCAGGGTCATTGCACCCTAATGCCTGGTGCCTTCACATTCGTCTTCAATGCCTGTTTATGCGAAGGTATGCATGCCAAACTTGCATGTGTTTACGTCTGTACAACGCTGGTATTCGACCTGATCACAGATTCATTACACGTAAAAACAAACGTACGCCGGGTTTGGAGGAAGGTGGTCGTAACATTTGTTCTGATACCTCTTAACCACGATCCTCGAGCCAAAGTAGTGTACAGTAAATATGCCTCCCCATCTCATGACTGTGCGACACAGGAACATGTAGTTCGTACATGCGTCTTGGAACTTAGATGATCGTACTTGATCGTACTGTGCGATTGGCTGCATTGCAGTCAGGTGATACAGAAAAATTCAAAAGAACTTGCGGTCGCATATCGGATGTAAGCTTTCTCCATACTCCCTAACTTGCCAGCCTCGACGATACACCTTTAAACGTTCTCGTTTTTGACTTGATTAGTTTTTAACAGGCCTTCAATAAATAGGTTTTTCTTGGATATCTGACCAGAGCCCGTTTTCTAAATCCAAATACAAAGATGATTGCATGCCAGTACTTGGATGCAAATTACAATTTGTAGCGATATTTTCTTTTGTCAAACCTACACCAAATTAGAATAACTCGTATTTCGACGGTGTAAGCCACGTTTACCATAGTGGTTGTTACGGTCCCAATCTTCCGCTCACGTATCATCACTGCTATGCAAAATCTTGATCTATACTCCCCAGCCGCCTGATAGATTGGGTCGCACAACACTGCTCATAAGATCAGTAAAAACGTTAGACAGTCCACCATCACTTTCTATGTTGTTTCGGTACATCAAACAGACCTAGCTCCCGAATTCCCATGAGTTCCCTTCCTTAGCTGAACGCCAAACTGTGCGCCTGCAGTTGACGGCTTGCTGGGCAATACGTGTTTAAATTTGCCGAATTAAATTTCGATCTACCTTGGTGATTTAGGCTACCGCTATTATCAGGTGTTCACCACATTCATTGATGAAATAGTACTGTGGTGTGCGCCCCGAGGAAACTCAACTCATAGTGAAATCCTTATTTCGCGGATGAAACCGACAGTGTTTGGCGATTAAACGCTCACTAAATTCTTGAATCAGAGACAAAAGGTCAAACGGTCAAACTCCAAACCAATCTCCAGGGAGAATGTCCGTAGCTGTTGTCACTCACTTATTGTATTCAGCTCACAAAACCATCTACTAAATCACTATAGACCAAGGTGTTGATCGAATGGAAATATGCAGAGTACCAAGTGTACTTTTACTACTGTTATTACTTTTATTGAGTAGCGAAATGAAACAAATGTCATCGCAACCAATGGCACAATATGGACGCACCGCCTTCACTCGTCCGGATTTGGACTTCCGTCAAAATCTCAGGCCTGGCAAGGTCAGTGAAATTAACCAAACGCACCCGACAGAGATAACAGGGTTTCCCCTTGACCATAGCCCGCCAATTCACATCTGGTATGACGATATAAGTAGTAGTCCGGGTATGGTAGTTGTAAATCGTAGAGGCGTAACGAGAAAAAATAAATTTTGGTAGGCAAAATTCCAGGTGAATTTCATCCCCGTCAACATGGATATTAAGGAGGGCTGCGGGGATCGGAATTCAGGAAAGGTTGCGTTAATCAGAGAAGGTAATATCTGTAGGTCGTGAGCAAATGGAGTGTAGTGTTAGGTGAGCTGTAATAGTGTCCGTGAATCTGGTTGATTCTGAAGAGGCAGTTTGCAGTATCGACCAACGAGTTCAGGATTTTGTGATTCTGTGCAAAGCTTGATTACACTTGTTTTGTTCATCGTCATCATCATCGACAGCACAACATCAGTGTTCAACATCGGTGCTTGAATGTCATACAACCATGATTTATTTGAAAGCCTCACTTTGAAGAAAAGAATAAAGGTGGACAGGGAAGGGAGCTAGCACTAGGTTACCAAAACCATTCCGAGGTTCCTACACCTCCAGACAATCATTCAGGCAATCTGGATAGAAATTGACAACAAGAACGCCACTGACATCGGTCGATAGCCATATCTTGCAGTGTCTCCAACCAGGCGCAGTGGGGATCACGCGGTCCCCATCCTGGAAGGCGAGCAGCAAATATCCCTCTGCCAGTTCAAGAGTTAACCATCTCTTTGCTTCCACCACTCTCTTCGGCACAACACATGTCCCAACCAACACAGATTCTGGTGCTGCATACATTCTTTGATGGAAATACCCGTTGCACAACCGGCAAATCGCTTTCTAATTGCCTCGTTACAGATTCTCTGATACCAACCCACACGAGCTATGGTTCGGACAGAGGTTACTCGGCTTGAAAATGGGAGGTATAATTGGGCTCCATATACTCCGAGTTAAGGTACTAGGAACCAACAAAACGGTTTTTCTACAAAAAATTAAACAAAGCGACCTTGATCAGGGACTGTAACGGTAGTGCGAATCCAGTCCAATGAAATGTCACTTCGGCGGTGACCATTGGTCTGCGGTTTAGGAGACCACTTGAGAATTTGCTGAAAAAAACACTTTGAGTGGTAGCTAGGTCAGCTGAATTCCGTAGCGGGTTCTCATGTTTTGTAGGTAAACTGGGTTAAGATAGGTATTCCCTATGTATGCCTACGTGTTTTTCTCCAAAGACCTGATTTTCTACTTATAATCTTCACAGACAGGCGATACTAATAGTAAGGATTAAGTCTTCGCAGCAATGCATTTGGCCGGCATGACCCAAGGAATTGAAAACGAACAGACGCTGAGTACTCGAGCTCAGTACGATTGCCATCAAGTAGAGCGAACATCTCAGAAGGCCAAGGGCTGGTATTCTCGTGGAGCAGAACTTTTGCTGTTGGGTTCTGCGATTTGGGAACCTTTGCTAATTTTACCCCACACTAATCGATGCTTGCACTGCGACAAAACTCACCATTATTTATCAGGGCCACTTAACCTCATATACATGCTGAACTTGCTGGAACTGAAGATGCAATGATGAATCTCGTAACTAATAGCTAATTGATATTATTAAGCACGTGAAGCGCGCGAGCTTTCTCTTTAAATATAATCACTAAAGGTTTCTTTGTTTTTGGTGTAAGTAGTGTGGGACAATTTTTCCCAACTCATCGTTACCTCGGTCTCCGCTAACTATGCTCTCTGGTGGAAACCGGGTCTTGTTGAGAAAACTAGGCCTGATTAATAGGCCCGAGGTTGCACAGACACAGTGAGTTACCTGTGTCGTGCAAATAGCTAAGAGGAAGAAGCCGTGGTTTCCACGTGAACAATGCTACGACATGATACCCAGCTACCTAGACTCCTACCCTAACCCCATCAAGAATCTCATCGTAAGGGCTCACCAGGAGGAATACTAATAATTTGCTTGCAGGTCGCTACGGTCCCATATCGATATCCTCCTGAACTATTGCGGCTGGCTCACTTGGAGGCGAGGCAACATTCCGGCACTATTCGGCTCGAAACATCAGACTGCCGATTAGTGGTTAAGGCATCGGAAGACAGAATCTGCGCTCTCAGGGTGGTACTGAGGTGGTGACACAGGAAATGGTCAAATGCCATGAAAGAGATTCAGCGGTGACGCTGTTCATACTACGCCCGTGACCAACCGTCAAATTTGACAAAGAAGTGAATTCGATAACACTGATCAGGTGACTCGATGAATGCTTTCTTATACTGAAGAAAGTACTTTGTGTATATGTTAGACCATGAACTTGACAGATAACAAGCGACTGAGAAATAAGTACGTCTTAAGTTTTGTGTAGAAGAGACCGAGGATAGACGGATCAGCTAGGTTGGCGAAACAACTTTTAACATGCTTTTATGCCACAGCTAGAGACACCATCGCATGCCGTTATGGCCAGCAATAAAGGAAATAAATTTCATATTTTTTGTGCAGTACCAGCTACTGGCTTCTTCAGTTGCACCATCAAACTGTATCATATACGAATCAGTTTTACAACTAATGGATGGAGAGTTGCTGCTTGACTTGCGTTCGCAGAATGTTGGCAGACCGGTCGTTGTTTGCCATAATGCTCTGACCGAACCGTCAAGTATACCACAGTATTAAATCATGGGATGTATGGTATTTTCCAAGCTTTTTGGCGATAGCAAAAGGGCATCATAGTATGTAAATGTGCGCACCCGGGAATTGCTGTATGGATGATAGGTTTGAATCTGTTAAATCACTGATAAAACCTAGCACTAATCAAGCGGAACATAAGATTGACGGAAACTCGGGGACTGCGCCTACCTGATGAGCCCCAAAAAGGGCGAAAACGGTCGTGGGCTGTCCATGAATTTTCAGCAACCTTATGAGTAGTGCATTACAAAGATTAGTACTCTGCGAATAAGCGACGCGTATCCGTGACTAGCATCAAATCGCAAAAAGTGACAATCCTGCATTAACCTGACTGTTCCAGATGCGAGTAGCAATGAGCAGTATTGCAAACAATGACCATTCTCCAGACACACTGTGAAAGCAAGACAACCATGTCCATGACGATGATGCAAGACACCTGCTCACTGGTGGCAAAACTAATCTATGTCCGATAACCTAGTCAAGGTTAAATCGGTGAAGCCAGTAGCTAAATCTGCACTCAAAGATCTAAACCAATTGGAAGCTTATACGAACTAATCAAACATCAAATCACTTCAAAAAGATTTCCAAAGGTACCATAGGAGCAGAAGAGTTTAAGTCCACTGTTAAATCCAAGT